CCTGAGAGGTGTCAATGCCACACTTGAGAGGACAATTGCATGTGTGCAAGCAAACAAAAGGTAAACACTATAAATCCCAACAATCCAATGTCTTATTCACAGCCAAATAAATGACATGACCAAACAGATATAAATCTAAAAAAAAATGCAATCAGTGGGTTATATTAGACCACTTGAATGCTCCACAATTGCACAAAAGGCTAGACAATGAATGGCAGAAATTGAAAAATCAAATTGACAAGCCAAAAAAAAATATATATATTTCATACATAGCATTGACAATGTTATGCACACCTATTCCCATATTTCTACATTTATAACAATGACAAATGTAAAAGGAATAAAATAAATATTTTTTTCCAAACAAGCAAGGACAGGAGAAATGATTGACATTGAAAAATAAAAAAGACACCATCAGCATTAACAGATGCCAGCAGATTTGCCCAAGTGATTTTCCCATTTCAGATTCAGAAAATGCAGTGTTTTATGCACGCTCTGAATGTAAATGGGATGATGATAGGCACGGTTGGCTGACCCATCGTATGTAAATAGTTCAGAAAACTATACCAATACAATTCAGAAAGGTCATTAGCAAACAGCTAATTAAATCTACTCATGCAAGTGGTGCTATATAGTCATATAGTCACTTAGTCGAGTAAACCCTGCCTGAGCCAATGAGAACATGTGCTTTAAGGTGTGTTCACATGTATAGTTCACATTAAATGGCCAATTCTCTGTGCTGTTGTTTGCTAGTAGGCGTTGCTACTGGACTGCAGTATTAAACTGTATCAGGCGGACTGTAAAACCTACACAAAGATGATGTCTGGCCAACATATAAAGCAGCCAACCACAGTTTGTTAGTGTTAACATACAGATCAGGGGACTGACTACTAACTAGAAAAATAACTAAAATAATAGACCACAAAACAAAAATTCAGTTCTGCTCATGGATGTGGTTAACATGCTACTACAGTTTCTCAATTGCTAAAATACTAAACTCCATTTACAGGGGTTTTTAATAAATATTTTTTTTAATAAATTAAGTTTTTTAATACATTTCATTCATCTAATTATCTGAAGCAAAGGCTCAGTGGCCTTAAACATTTGTCAGATCCTTAAATAAGTTCAGGTAGTTAGATACCATTTGCAATTCTTCTCGTGCACTTTTTTTTTTAGCAAAATCACTCTCTCACTGAAACACATTTCACACTGCGATGCTGCGTGTTGGAAAACGGTAAACACAAGCGGCAAAAGTCGTCAAAGTTCAGCATCATTTAATGACTCAATTGTTCACACTTGTTTCTAATGATGTGATCAAACCAACTGTACAAATTATAAGTCAGTTCAGAGTGCATAGGTGTGCGCACTGAATGTTGATACCAACAATGGATGGAAAAGATCTGAGAGGGAGAGTATTAAGAGTGCGTGTGCAAGAGGTGGTGGATGAGGCAAGAGGAGGACAAAAAAAAAGAGTGTTGTCAAGGCTGGATCCAGCACAAAAAAAGATTGTTCCTATGCATGGATGCTGAGGTAGAATGAATCTCTCATTGACCGTGATATTGCAGTTTTGGCATTTTTTTTAGGTTACTATAACATTTTGGGCTTTTGCAGTTGCACTACTGCCGAATATACAGAAATTCAATTATACAATATTCAATACAATACTATACTTGCAGTACATAGATAGTACATTTTAGACAGCTCTGGATGCTGTGTTCTCCATTTTTGATGTAGTGTCTAATGGACGCTCTGCAGTGCTTATATAATGACTGATGTGTGCATAATCTAAAAGCTTTGATTGATTTTTAAGAACAGGTGAAATGGTTTTGATGCAAATGTTTCATTTTGCCAACAGAGTAAGTGGTTTTGTGATTGTAGACTCTGAAGATATGGTTTTGTATAAAAGTTGTGAGAAAATGGATGAGGTTTCAAGAAACTGAAAGTGCCTCATATTTTTCAAACATCTGAAGACATTAATTTTGCAAACTCTGACCAATTTAGAAGTGATGTCAAGCTTAAAAGCACTTATTGCATCAACCAGGTACCTTGAAAACACATTTTTTTTGTTTCAAGGCAGACAGAAAATAAAACCCAACCGTATGTGCTCAACCTCCCAGAAATTGCATCAATTTAGCCAATCAGATTAGAGGTTGCTAGATCAAGAAAGTACAGGATATTGATAGCATGGATAGGCCACAAAGTTTACAAAGTTCTTAACTTTTAACGCCCAAGCGCCCATAGAAACCACCAAAATTATGCCAGCATTTGTGTGTTCCATCATAAATTAAATACACTATGACGTTACACACTGCATGATTTAGTGATGCACTGAAATAGTACGTTTTGATAGTTTAGGTAATTTAACTATTATGAACTTAATGTTCAGGGTGTTGTTTTCACAGGTTAAACCATTACATCAAACAACATGCATTGAACTATACACATAAATACACTCACACACACATTAACTTCACTAACAAGCCTCGCGATAGTTATTTCAGCTGAACAAATTTGACATTTCTACCCTAGCATCATTTTTGGTCACAGTGAAATGTGTCCACACTGCTGACATGTTTACCGGCTGTAGCTAATCCACGTTGTGTGCACAAAATAGACACTGACAGTCAAAACGCATCACCACAGTGCTCATTAAATGTCATTGTTTGGATCAGTGATTTCAAATATTTTTTATGCCGTTTCAGGCAAATATTTTCATTTGCTTTACTAATGACAAAGCTTTTCAGCACCTAAGAGGAAACCAGGAATGGTAGACAGCAATAAAAAAAAAGCCTGTTCACCTGCTTTGCATGAGGATGTTTTACCGTTGAATATCATTAATTTTAGCCTAGGAGGCAGGTTAAGAATTAGTTTAAGCACACAGATAACACTGTCTGATCTTCAGTTCAGACTAATGAATGCAGAGCACCATGACCCTCAACATTAGTAGTTATGACTGCAAATTTGAAAATTGGGACCATACCCTCAAAGAATGTTCCTGCTGTTATTCTCTTAGAGAAGACGTTAAGCATAACTGCTGAAATGCCATTTAACCATTCATTTTACCATTCATTTGTTTAAAGAATCTGTCATGGTGCGAAGTGTGATTATAAAGTTTCTGATTATGATAAAATCAAAAGTTGACTTAAATTAATCCAGCCTCATTTACCACCTTGAGACTTTACATAACACTGATAAACAAGTATGCCTTCACTGCTCATACCCAAGGACACAAGCAAATTATTGACAGTATGCGTCTATATGTTGAAGAACAGGAAGTAAATGCTTTTGAATCTCAATTGGATGCAATTACTGCACAGGGGGTTTCAAACCTATGATTCATGAATGGATTAAACATTTCAGTGATAAAAATACATCATTATCTCTAACGCAGAAGTTAAGAGCTTGCATTTGACAGCTCTGCAGATCAAAAGAATTACACTTATCTGAAAATCTGACATTGTTATGAAACAGATTTTTTATGAATAAACTACATTAATAGTGTCAGGAAGTGATAATACTGTAGTGTACACCAAGCCATTTCTACACTAAATACAGTTTATACATATATAAACGTATCTGAATTACCAGCAGTCCATGTTTTATTAAATAGTGAAAAATAATCCACCTCCCCTCACTCACTTGTTTCATTTGCTCTGGAAGAATATTATTGGTGCTATAATTTTATTTTACTCATTCAAACAGTTTTGTGCTCACACAAAGCCGTCTCTCAGTACTAAATTGAGATCTTTCCTGCTGCTTATTGTGCTTAAACAGACAAATACACACAAAATAATGTCAAAATGCCAGTATTGGCAAGTATTCACATAAACAGTCAGTTATGTTTTAAGTGAACAAACAGTTGAGATTAAGAAAGAAAATGCACATGTAACATTATAATTGGTTCTTACTGTGATTCCAATAAAACTGATGCCAAATTATGAGATGATTATATATTAAAAAATATCTCATATTTCCCCATAGAATCGATGTCAAAATTGTGGCTAGTGAAAATGCTGAGTGGCTTGTAACTTCGGAAAACCACTACAGTGGCCGGTGAGCAAAAATGTTAATGTCAAGCCCTCGTCCATGTATAATTACTTACTATATACAATAATCAATACTAAAAAGTCAATGTGATCCAATATTTTACTCATGTTTCTAATCATTTCCCAAACAGTGAAGTAACTATTCTACTCTTACTGGTTAGTACACACTTGTCATTGTTAACTTTAGTGAAGTGTGGTTCAGATGTGGTCTAGATGACTAGTAAAACCCATTCCAGTTTTACCACTTCCTCTAATCACCAGGAACTTGGAAAACATAGCTGAACCTATTCTAAGTACGCACTTTACATTTTCCAGTTTTTCTAGTACTAGTTGAATAGACAGTAGTAATTGTCTACTCCAATTGTAATTAGTCACTCTCTCATTGACTAGTAACGTTAGCCAAGTTCTGGTGATAGTACTTATAGACAGCCTAACACAACTAATGATGTTTTTAGATGCTTTTAGACAATATTAAATTGCCTACTAGCCTTTAGCAAAAATATATAGCAACATGAACAAATAACTAACGTTAGTATGTTAAGGAATAAATGGTAAAACGACTTAATGCCACAAAAACGGATAAAAACAATTGTTGAGAATATTTAGTAATAATTCGATGATTTGGTTTTTAGGACACCTTGGTGCAATATTCATTAAATATCAACAGACAAAATTAGAACAGCATGTCGCTAACGCAATCACAATCAATTTCATTTATCGTGAATTATAATAAGATGGAGGACAACTGCCATGCGGTTACGTGTCAAAATTGTCAAGCATGGACCCGCACAGAGAGACAAAACGCTTCCTGAAACAATTATGAATGAAGGATCGCGACAGCACAGTGCATCACGCACGTAACGTTACATTTCATTCAGGGCGAGATTAATCGTGCAGTACACCCCCAAACGTCAGATTATAAATGCGCCACAACCCGCCCGCCTTTCTACTCACCAAGGGTCAAACTCGTGAATGATGCTCTCGAAGCGAATAACTGCGAAAAGTCGAGAGCTGAACCCTGCCAACCAGGCCAGAAAGAGAATGGTGAACGACAGCAAAGACTGCCATCCCGCCGGCTGCGTCAGTCCCCCGGACAGGCCTCCGCCGCTGCATCCAGCCGGGGAGTTGGGCCGTCCGTTGCCCGAGACCGAACCTCCGGAGTTGGAGCTCGCTTTGTGCTTACAGTCGGAGGCGGTGTGGTGCTCCGCCATGTTCTGGAGGATTTGGTTAGGAGAGCACTTCCCACCGCCACGCACCCCTCTTTCCACCAACCCGCTCCCTCCTCGGCGCCAATATTTCTGCGCAACCAGGCCTTTGCTCCAACTGCAGGAATTTGGCGTTGTGTATTAATAATTTGGATTTATTTGCTGCAGATTCGGCGTCTGAGTGGCATGCTAACCGGCACACGCGATCCACTGGTAGGAGGGCGGGGGAGGGGGGTGAACAGGGCGGTTCGGTTCCATACACAGCAGGAAGAATCTCTCAGCCTCTCATAGCGAGACAGGTAGAACAAGGCGGGTCATACGCGAGACCCATTCAGCCAATCCGCTGCAAGCAAACCACTGACAGGAGCCAATGAGATCACGTACAGCCTGGAACGTTGACAAACACAAACGGAAAAACGTTGACAGGAGGTTAGCCAATCCCGTCCCTGGTTTACAGTAACGAACACTCGTTTGAGCCAATCAGCACGAATAACCGTAGTGGCGCTGTGCCGCGATACACCAATGAAATAAATGAATTTTGTCTCAGAAAACCACTACGCAAACGATATTTTTCATGCGGATGTCATTGTCTCACTCAAACGTCTCATCGTTTAGCCTACTCACCCTCATGTCGTTACATAGGAACTTTTGGTCATAATGTCCTCAGCAACTCCAGTTGTATGATGAGAGGAGATTAAATGCTCTAGGAACCCTTTTAATCACGGATGAAAGTTATAGAAATTTTAGACAGAAATTCAGAATTTTCATTTTTAAGATCAACTTTCCTTTCTGATGATAACATGTTTGCCAAACACGCTAAATTAAACGTGTAGCCTATTAGCAGCAGTATAATACCTATTTAATAATGGCATCAAGAAGACCAGCTAAACAGGAACATCCTGAGAACATTGCAAAAAAAGGACAAGTAAAAGGTCTTGATCTGTATTGTATAGTTTCTCTCCAGTATTCATTCTTAAATAAGAAACAAAATTCAGTAGCCTTCAAGTTGTAGCTGTCCTGAAAACAATTATCACACTGTCTCTGCCATTTTTATTAGATCTGAATGACTTTACAACTGACACATGGTAGGCCTATCGTCTAAAGGGCACTGAAAACAAATCATTAAAAAAAGAATAGCTAAATAAATCAATACAATGGTTAGATCCCATTCCCAAGCAACTAATACTAAACACTATTCTTTTACACCAGCTGTATTGATATCCTATGGTGTGTGGACAGTGACAGAATACTTAATTTATGTAAGTGTTTATACAAATGCTTACCTCGTGCTTTAAAGCCGTAATGTTTGGAGAGAGAAAAAATCCTGTGGTCATTCAAAATATAATTTATTTAATAGAGGATCTAGGAAACTTACCGGTGCCATGATGGTGATCTGAAATTCACAAAGTGAATTCTTTGCCTTGATCAGGTTCTCTCGAATTTTCTTGTATCCCTCCTAAAACACGATCTTTACGCTCAACCACTGAAACCACTCCACAATCTCATTCCAGATTTCAAAAACCACATGCAGTATAGATCATGCAGTATTGCTCTGGCTTCAATACATGTTCAAGTTATCCACTAATGTGACATTGCAGATGTGTTGTTTAACAGTGACAGTTTCAACATTTGGTTTAATTAAACATGATCCACAGTGCAAGGAATCCATCTCTGCAGACAACATCCTAAGCATGTGTTAATATTGCTGCATTGAAAAATCAATAGATGCATTTAAGTCAATTGTTCTGCTTACCATCTGGAAAGAAGAAGCCTCTTTTCCTTGCACATGTGGCTTTGGTTATAATGTAATGGAAAATTAGTTGTGTCCTGTTGTATTTGAATATAACATTCCTTTTATGTCACCTTTTCAACAGGAAAATTACCAGGGAAAAGTCATTCGGAGAGTTGCTTAGCATTTTAAAACAAATCACATTTGAAAACAGTATTTTTTTTTTAATGGTGTCAAATGTTTGACAAGTCTTGTTCGTATTTTGAACAGCTTTAATGTACCTCTGCTGACACCCACAGTTTCCATGATGCCAGTGCACAGCAACCACCTGGCTAAAACGTCTAGAATCCAATACTTCTTTGATTTAACTCCACCACAAATATATGATAGCTGTTGTAAAATATAGATCAATTTTAATGCAAAATATAAGAGGAGTAATTGCTCTTGACATTAGGTTGCATGTTTATATATTGGCTTATATAAAAAGTGACTTTTTGGAAATATTGTAATTGATACTCTTTGTTAATTGTAACGCTATATATATATATATATATATATATATATATATATATATATATATATATAAAATAGGTCACACTTTAGTTTAAGGTCCAGTTCTCACTAGTAACTACAACTTTTGCCTCAATAAACTCATTTACAGCTTAATAATAGTGAGGTAGTTGTTACATTTAGGTATTAGGATTAAGAGATATTAGAATATAAAACATTAATGTGTGCTTTATAAGTACTAATAAACAGATAATATCCTAATATGCATGCTAATAAGCAAAAGTGAGAATTTGACCCTAAACTAAAGTGTTACCAGATATTGATAATCTAAATGGCAAAAACTGACTAAACAACAACAACAACAACAACAAAAAACCAATGCATCTCAAAAACATTTATCTTGGTTTTAGGATGGAATTTTTTTCACTGAAAATACACAATGCTTAAATACTGAATAAGAAAATTATATTTTTGCAATTGTTCTTGGTCTTCCTGGTGCCATTATTTGATTTTTAATAGTAGTGGTGTTCCTAGAGAATGGCATGCAATCCATAAGGTCCCTTCTTATTAAATGCCAAAGCAATTACCCACTGCATTCTGACATTAACATCCGGTTCTAACAATCATTTCTTTCTCTTTTATTTCCCTCTGTGATTTCTTTGTCTCAGTAGTGAATCCTGAAAGTTTATGCAAAAATAAAAACAAAACACCTGTGTATGAAGAGGTTAGAAGATCAGACCACGAGGCGACTAACCTGGTGACTCATATGAGTTGTGCGGAATGGAGGCAGATAACGAGGCTGAGTGTGTATCTGTTCGACAGAAAAAAAAGCAGCTGAAAGACTGCTATTCTCATGTGTGTTCATTTATTGAGCTGTTCTAGTTATTGTGAATGATCCAGCTAAGATCACAGTGCTCCGGGCTTTTATGTCTCTGAAGAGAGCTGTAGCTATCGCAGAAGAAACAACTGATGAATGCCTGTTGGATTAAGGGCTGACTTTCATTCATCATTTTGTTGTTGTTGTTGTTGTTGTTGGTGGTGGTTCTGTTATGGTATAGGTGGCGGATGAACCCAGAAGCAGACGGTGTGCAATCACAGATAATTTATTGAAGACAAAAAGGGGAAAACAAAGCCCACGAGGGGGCAAAACAAGACTCTGACAAGGTGACTGACTAGACAAGGTACTGACAAAATAAAACTAGGTAAACGACTGACACGAGCAATAAATAAACAGGACAAATACTCTTGACAGGTACTCACAAACTTGGCACAGATAACACTTGGCAACATTTGTCAACATTAGTCAATGAACCGACACAGGACAGCAAACACAAGGGGATTAAATAGGGAACACTACTGACGAGGACAGGTGAAACTGACTAGACAATAATCACAAGACAAGGATAACAAGGGGGCGGGGTAACGTAATGAGACAACACAAGCACATGGCCCAAACAACAGACCATGCGCTTGTACACAAAACATGATTCTGTCATGATCCTGCCTCATGACCAGAGAAAAACCAACCACAAGAGGGCAGAATCATGACAGAACCCCCCCCTTAAGGAGCGGCTACCAGACGCTCCTCAAGGGGACATTAAACACGGGACATGACAGACTGTGACAAAGACAAAAACCAACAGTACATAGCAAAAACTAACAAAGGCAAACAAGAATACACAACAACAGGGTTGGGGTGGAACATCAAAAATAATAAACAAGGAAGGGGAGGCGGAGGGACAACAAAGTCCTTGAGCGAGGGTCCAGGGTGCACAGGCGGGACGGTGATCTTGGGACCACGGGGTATGGGCTTGGGACGGGGGGTCCGAACGGACTTGGGTGGAGTGGTGTGGGTAGAGGGAGAAACAGTCCGGGGTTGAGACATGGCAGGGGAGACAGGAGAAACAAGCGGAAGTCCAGGGACAGTGGAGACAGGGACAAATGGGGAAACAGTCCGGGAAATAGTGGAGACAGGGGCGACCGGGAAAACAGACTGGGGTACTGCATTAGTGGCAGCAGCAACAAACTCAGAGGATGGGGAAACAGGACTCCTGACGGGGGACATGACAGGCAAAAGGACAGGACTGGGTGCAGCGCTCTCTGTGGCGGGCTCCGGTCTTGCGCTCTCGGCGGCTGGCGCGGGTTCGGCGCTCTCGACGGCTGTAGACACGGGACAAGACAATATGCCAGACCTGGCTGGAACTTCCAGAATCTTGGCTAGACTTGACAGGTACTTGGACAAAGTTCTTGCCGCAACGGCAATAGGCAACTCCTGATCTGCTGACACTGACCGCAAAACAGCCTCAGCAGCCGAATCAGCTGCAGCCCTCTCAGCGGCGCTCACGACAGCAGGCTCAGGAACGGTGTCCTCAGCAGCGGGTTCAGGGACAGCGCTTACAGCAGCGGGCTCTGGGACAGCGCTTACAGCAGCGGGCTCTGGGACAGCGCTTACAGCAGCGGGCTCTGGGACAGCGCTTACAGCAGCGGGCTCTGGGACAGCGCTTACAGCAGCGGGCTCTGGGACAGGTGGAGATGAAGGACGAGAGGCCCCCTCCTCCTCCTTTTCTTCCTAGGCCGTGGCACGGACGTAGTAGACGGACCCTTGACCGGTTGGAGAAGCTCAATGGGGGCTGTAACTGGTGCAGGAAGGGCAGTCTCAGACAGCGTTGACTCTGTCGAGGATGATTCAGAAGGAGAATCCCATGAACTCCGTCTCTCTCGCTTGCCACGGAGATGAGGTGGTGTGGACGAAACCTCAGGAGAAGATACGGAGGAAACCAAATCCCCTTGAGTGACCACAGCAAGAACACGACCCTCCGGGATCACGGGCAGCTTGGCGGATGATGAGCCTGTGGGTGCCTGTGACTCTCTCCGAGACAAGCAATCCACCAACTCAGTGAACGGATAAGTCACCAGCTCCTCCCGTTCAACCAGGGGTGGAAGAGAGTTGAGACCAGCGACGAGGTAGCAGTTTAGGAGGAACTCCGGAATGAAAAACCTC